ACAAGCTTCATCCAACGCATGGCCGAGTCAAACTTCTTGATTGAACCAAGCACGGTTTTCGGATTCTTCACTGCTGGGTGGCATTCTTGGCATTTGTTCGGACTGCAGCGCGTAGTGCTGACTGGAGTTTGATTCTGCTGCCTTGTACCATAGCTATGCCGCTGCCTCGTACTCAAGCAAAGCCGCCATTGACAAACCTGTTACCTGAACCCCCCCCGTATGTTTACCATTTTGTTGGTTTCAATGGTATTTGCGGTGTTCCCTGCCGTTTCATTCTTGCTTTGGGGAAAGCAGCAGAAAAAGTGTGCTTTATTAACGTCTATTTCAAAGTCTATCTAGAAACTTGGAAATCATCCTGAGACAGGAAGTCCTCCATACATCTAATTTGAAGAAGCACCACAATTAAACATGTGCTTCCAAAAGGAAACCCGAGTTACATGAAAACTTGACATTGTATTAGGATGTGTCACTGTTAATTTCTAGTTAAATTTCAACTAAAACATTAAATAACTCTGTCCTGGAAAAAGAGAACCCCTTTAAAATCTTGAAATAGGAGTTACAGCTACAAATAATATTTGAATACACTCATATTTACATGCTCGGTAAAATAGAAACCGTACTAGAACTATGTCCTTATGAAGTTCTATTTGAATTCTATTCAAACAATACAAATAGAACATGATTCAATATCTAATGTCAAATAAGACACTTAATTACACATATTACTGGAAGATGAACACCTGTTTAGATTGCATGCACACATTGCATTTACACTAGACATCCTACTAGGAGTATGTCATTATTTAAATTCCACTTCAATTCTACTAGACAGTTGAACAACACATCCTAGAAAAGAGAGAGAGAGAGACCCTCTTTAGAATCTAAATTCAAATACTAATGCCAATTAAAAACCGTTCAAAGCACGTCTATCTAAATGATCGCTAAAACTAGACACTCTTCTAGAATTGTTTCCCTACTAATAAGCTTCGAAAAGGAAAGCCTGTCTAGACCATCTCTAAACCAGACATCGAACAGGATGATTTCCTTTTTACTTCAAATTAGTAATCTAAGTTGAAGTAAACAGTCCCATTGAAAAGAGTAATTGACAAGGCGATCCTATTCAAGTTACTTTTCCAGGATTCACAGGTATTTGCGGGGAGTTCCCTTTTTGGGCATTGGGGAAAGCAGCAAAAAAGGGGCTCATTTCCGAAGACAATCTGGAAGCTTCAGGCTCCGGCCCGACTGAAATTTCCGTCGGCTTGGATGTACCTTTGTCCTATGTCTAAGCTGAGGTTTTGCCAGATGCCAAAGAGGGTCAGGCCCCCAAACCGTGTGAACCCTTTAAATCGTTTAATCCCTTTCTCAGAGGAAAGGTCCCCCCCCCCCCAGCGTCAGGGGCCCAAACCGTTTGAACCGTTCAAACCGTTTGAACCCTTTCTCAAGGGAAAGACCCCCCCCCCCCCCGCCTCCCAAGGCCCAACACTGTTTAAACCGTTTCTCAAGGGACCTTTCCTCTGAGGGTTAAATAAATGGTTTTGGGCCCAGACCTTTCCTCTGAGAGAGGTTTAAACGGTTTGAACGGTTTTGGGCCCTGACCTTTCCTCCAAGTGTTCAAACGGTTTAAATCGTTGAGTAGTGGGCAGAACAAATGAAGACAGAAAAGGTCGACATTGGGGGGTGGGGGGTACTTTTGTAAAGAATAGCTTTGTTTGTTGCCGCTCGGCTGCAACTTCCAGATGCAGTCATAGTTTCCGGAATTGCCAGTCGTGCATGTTCCAAGCTTGATTCAGAAGCTCTCTTGAAATAAAGCAAACTCTTGGGCTCATGCCGAGAACTCACTCGCTGGGGACGCATTGCTCCAACTATAGGACTCGAAATGGAGGTCAAATTCGGTGGGGATTCATGCAACCAGCAGCCGAATCTCCAGTCGCATCACTTTTCAGCCGCTTCATGGGGCCAAACAGCTGCGAACCACAACCCAGACCCGCCCTTCGGACCCAAACTGTTTTGAGGCCTCTAGACTTTGTCCTAGGTTCAAAAGGGCATTGAACTAGTGATGAAGCGCTCGTTACAGTACAGGTTGGCAAGCAGTTGTGGATCACCGAGTTTGATGACGGCGCAACTGCATGTTCCGACATTCTGCTGGCAGCTCTCGAAAACGCTGAAGGTTATGCAAGACGCTGCCTTAAAAAAAAAAAAAACATATATATATATATATATATTTAAATAAATCATGACGCCCTTGGACAAAGAACCCTTGCTTGAATCACAACGGATTGGGGGAAGCAGGTCAATCGCAGCTTGAGGGCTAGGCGCAACCACTCTCCTTCGCAGCCTGCCCATTGGCTGGCAGCACCTGCCAGGCTGCAGCTTCTGGGATGACAAGTTTAATGCCAGCCGCAACAAGGCCGGACAAACCGAAGTTCTTATCAGTGGCAGCGAGGGGGTCTTAACCAATGAAAATACCGAGAGGGTTCCAGAGAGGTGCTGGGGCGTATCTTTTTCTGCCAGAAATGCATAGAATGGGACGCCAAGAACTGATGATTCTAATGGGTGTGTCCACGCATTGTGCGCGGAGAGTGTTGGGTTGTTTGTCTTCCGCAGACACCCCGGAACAGCCGAAGCTGCTTGACTGTCCTCAGAGCCTTGAAGGGGTAGAAGGGCAGGAACACTGAGTGTGTTTTCTTTCTTTCCAAGGGCATGTGGACCTTTCCCACCAGGATTTGTTGAGCTGTTTCAGAATACTTGACCGTCTTTCGTCTTGACTGTCTTTCGCAACATCTTACATCCTTGCCCTGGTGGAACTGATGAAATTCCTAGGTTTTGGGTTGAGCGTTGACCAAGACCTTTCTTTCCAGCTGACATTCTGCTCATGTGTACCCCCAGGCAGCCAGGCTTTGGATGGCACATGAGCCACAAGCAATACCCGGGTAGATGAAGATTAGAAAGGGATAATCCCAGCCATAAACGTGTGCCTTCGCCACCTTGTTCATTTCTTACATGGTTCCGTCTAGATTTGTTTGAATCCCGATCGGTTTTGATGGTGACTCACATGCCGGCAGCGCAGCAAACGCGCTTCGATGGAAACAGTTCCCCCGCTTTCGGCAGGAACGCGTCTTGGCGATGCAGCGGCTCTTCGCGAAGCGAGCGCCCGGCGACGTCTTTGCCGTGCCCGGCAGCTCAAGCGAGGTCGCCGAGTCGCTCGCGGGCCGAAAAATGTGAAGGCGTTGAAGTCCCTCAAGGGGAAGCTGTGGAAGGGGGCTCCACGTTTGCTTGGCCATGAAAAATCCTCTTTGCTGTGGTAAAACCTTACTTGCTGGTTCTCAAAAAATGCGGTTGGGGGTTCTCCTCTCAACCACTCAGAGAGGACACAGATCGTTCCATGGCGAGCTGTAAGGCCCTGGATCAAAAGACTTGTGTCTTTCCGTTTGTCCTAAGGGGGAGGCATTTCCTGCAAAGACATGTCCAAAACCCATCTGGGATTTTTTAGGATGTAACTTCTCTTGACAGCAGGAACCACACGGAGCAGAATGAATAAATGAGCACCGCTCCCCATAGGCGCATAGACTCGAGCCGAACGGGTGTGTGCTCTTCTTTGATGCTCCGTTTTTTTTGCGGGGTTCGTTTCCCATGGGAGCGGAAGGAACGTCACCCAAAATGCCCCCCCTTCCCCCCCCAGTGTCGAGGCCTGCCCCACTCTGCGATGGGCCGGCAAGCTCAGTTTTGGGGGCAGAACCAGGGCCGCAGGGGCTCGCAGCTAGCGCCCCAAGGATGCTTCCATTTGCTGAAATGACCATGTTTATTATTATCCATTTTTGGTTTGAAAGGGAATCTGTTACTGCTTTTGTTGTTTCAGAAAAAAACATCCCAGGGGGCGAAAACGCAAATGGAAGGAGAAGGCCGGCTTTTGCGACAATCAGCCTCATTTTTCCCAGTTCAGTAATGTTGGGGGGCGGCCAGAAAGGTGAGGTTTGAGGGCTGCTTTTTGAAGATAGCCATGTCCAGTGCAAAGAGCATATCAACCACATGGCGAGCCCCGGCGCGTGAATCCACCCAATTTCCGGCCTTGTTGGAATCTCATCTCAATGGATACCACGTAAATATATTTGGGAAACGGGGCCCAGGTACTGTAGGAATCTCGAAAAGTGGTCTCAATGGACACCACCCAGCAAATGGATCAATCTTTGATTTGGGGAAATGGGCCCCATGTAGGTGTGTCATCCAAGTCCGGCCGCTGCAAAGCTGATTTGGTCCCCAACTCTGCGCCCTTCCAGGAAAGACGTGCGGCCTATGGGACTGCCCTCTCTTGAAGCTAGATGGGGTTTGCGTCGGTTGTTGCTATCCGTCTGATTAGTCCCCATGCAACTTCTCCAGGCTAAAGCAATGAACCTATCATGAGGCCATGGACTTGGGAAAGACCATTCTGGTGGCAAACCAAAGGCTTTTCTTCTTTGTTTTAAGCCAGTGCGCTGAGGAAGTGAGTGTTTGGTTCTGCCGGAGCATTCTTCAAACAACACATGGCGTCTCTGTGAGTCGCGCGCCGGGTGCGGCATGTTTCGTTTGGCCGGGAACCGTTTTTTGGCCGGCTTGCACACATGGTCGGCAAACTTGGAAGCACAAGCCACATCGCAGTTTTCGCTTTCCTCCCCAAGGTAAAACATGGATCGCACACCTAAAGCCCTCGAATTTGAAAGGAGCTTCCTTGTTGGGAGGGGGCTTGTTATTTTGGCGGAGGCAATGGAGCATTTATTTTTTTCTTGCTGGGAGCACCTCGAGGTGAGACTCACCATGGGCTTTCCCCGGCATCGGTGTTCCTTTTGGGCTTCCCTTTGCGACAAAGCAAAGGGGTAAGACTCAAAAAAAAGAGATACCCAAAGTTGCTGCCGGTGCCCTCTTAGTTCTTTGGTGGGTCGGCCATTCTCTTGCTTGTGACTCCCATTCAGTTCGGCCGCCTCCCGAAAGTTGGCGGCTCATAGTAGAAGTGTTAGCTTGCGGGCAAGATGGGCTGCAACGAGTCGACTCAAGTTTCCAGTGATGCCGCTCGGCCAAGCACGAGATCCATGTTCGGTCTTAGCCTTTGGCCTTTGTGTCTTGATTTGAGCGTGGCTCAAGATTAAAGAGCTAGGGTTACGGGTTTTAGTGTTTGGTTTTATTTACCAAGTTGCCGTTTTGATACCATATTTTTTAGCCACAGCCATTTGTAGAAACCAGGCGCGCAGAAAAAATGATCTTGTCCATGCCCCACCGCTCATCAGCTCCTGCCCATTTCCTACGGCCCGGGTGACACAAATTCCAGAAGTTTGTTGAGCTGATCTGAATCTGGAAGTACGCCAACCACTGCAAGGGAACTCGGCCATGACGCAGAACGAGGTTGGAAGGCCAAAATCTAGATTGGGCAGATCATGAAGCGATTCTTTTTAAATGTCTTCTATTTTTTCTGTTGTCATAGATTGGGACTGTGAGTCATGCCCAATTCCAGATGCAAAGAGGCGGGGGTTGTGGGCACATCGCGAGCCGAGGCAATTTTTGGGTCTTTTCCAGAGACAGTCGAGGCGAAGACCTTCGCAGACCTTCTCACGGGTTTGTTGTTTGAAGGTACCCTGTGTTAGGGTCTTACAGGGAACCAACAGGAAAAAGGAGAGCCTCCATTTTGTGGGTCCCCCTATGAACATCCATGAACATCCATGAACCATCGTGGAACCAGGGGAGTTGGTCTAAAGTGCCTCGCAGCCCGCTTTGCAATGACTCTTTCACTTAAAGGGGCATTGTACTAAGTGGGTTATAGCCAGGCTTACTAACCACTTACGTACCGATCGCCCCGTTAAGCGGGTTGCCTCTCACACATACCCAACTTCCGAAGCCTTGAATGCCTTGAATGCCTTGGGGTCTGTCGGAGCCCATGCCAAGCTTCCAAGGGTGGAAGTACAGACTCTTTGTTCAGACCCCTCGGCTTCCCTGGTTTCCACCCCACTTTGCAAGGTGCATTCCTCTTTTCGGGAGTATGAACACCAGCAAGCCCGGGCTCACCAAGAGGTATGTGAGCCAGAATCGAAACCTGGGTAGATGAAGTTTAGTAAGGCGCCTTCGCCGTCTCGTTCATTCTTTACATGGTTCTGGGGATCGACCGTTTGACTCAGCTCCAAGGTTGTGCCTGACTCGGGGAAGTCTATGCTGCAGAGTGGCAAGCCCCACTTCCTCGCGGAGAAGATCTTCGAGTAGCTCGGATGGGGCCGGAGGATTCAGGGGGGGTGCTTAAAAGGGCTTAGTAACTGGTTGGAAACCTCGGTTATAGCCCACATGTCGTAAGTCGTTCGAGTGGGTTATAACCGGGGTTACAGACCACTTCCGTACCCTGCCCTGTGAGGGGCTACAATCTTGGTGCTGTTCCGATACTGCATTCATCCTATCTTGGCGTTATGTTCGGTTATTCGCCTCGGCCCACATGCAAGTGCCAAGATGACTAGGAGTCCGTTTCAGTCCGAGTGAAAGGATGGAATCAGACCATTCATGCACTGGTGCATTGTTTCATTGCAAGGGTCCCCTTTGTCGAACCCTGTTGTCAGTTTCTCCAGGGTACAATTTCCCATTGCCAGACACTCACGGCACGTATTTGTGACAGACACGATGTTTTTTTTGGGAGCGGGCGAATGCCTGAAATGCCATCCCCCCACATCTTCAAGATGGGAGTGCATCAAGCTACCGCCTTCCAGCTGGAGCTGCCTTCGATTGGGGCGATCAAATGCTTTTTGGTCAATTTTCGGGTTCCCTTTGCAGGGAACAGCATGGACAGCCGAAATTCTGGCTGGCAAAGATGTCAAATGGCCACAGTTGGACTCTTGCGATCTGCCTTGCCTTTTCCAGCTCTCGCCTGCGCCGGGCCTCCACCGCAAGGCCCCAGACATGTCTCAATGTGTCCCTCTGCTTCGAACGCCAGGGCTTGGTTTTAGTCGAGCCATCTCTTGCAAGGCTAATTGTCATAATCCGGACAGAGGGTCGCACATAACCAGTTTGAAACACCCGAACAAGCGTACACAGAACCCCGCGCCCCAAAAAGCTCCTAGAGCAATACCTTTCCATTTCTCTCTGAAGTTTTGCTTGAGCGCGCTTCCCATCTGAGGGCCGTTCAGCCCGGGGTTCTGCTAAATCCTTACAAACCTCAACTCCACCAACTCCACCAACTCCTTTCTTAAATATTCTTTTACCGGGCCACCAAATGCAAACCAAACGCAAAATGGGAGGGGGGGTTACTGGAGGTACCTCGTTCCGTCGTTTGGGGCACCTCGTTTCGCTCGGCCTGCCCGCTTGGCCCGAGGAAGTACGACCACAACCAGAACGGCCTCCTGGAGGCCTCCGAGCTGGCGGCCCTCATGAAGGATGCCTTCCCAGGCGCGAGGAGTTGGGGAGTCGCGGAGTCGTGGCGTCCGACTCACCCAAACCGGCCCCACGGCCCCATGGCATGTTATTTTTTTTATTTTTTTTTTCCTTCCCCCATCCTTGTTTTTTCACCCGACCAAAACTTGTGGCAGCTTTTTTTTCTCACTCGAAGAAAAAACAAAACGTGGGAGGTTTGTTTCAAGCAAATGGTCAGTCACACTAGCTGGCTTCCTTTTGAACTGAGATTACTTTTTTTGTTCATTTGTTGGTTTTGGAGGGAATCAAATGACTGTTTGTTTCCCTTCCCCCTGTTGGCTTTGAAGGGAATCACTACTGGACACATGTTCATTTGTTTTCCAGGAGACTTTGAACATAGCAAGTGGAAGGCTGTCTGATGACCATTCCATAAAAGAAAGGTAATAAAGGACTGTTTGAACTGAACCGGGGGCAGTCTTTTCAACAGGAGTCATTGATTCACGAGAAGACAAAGAGCTTGGAGACGACGGTTGTTTCAATTGCTTGGCGAACTGGTGGTTTTGAAGGGTACCCTCCAAAGAAGTGTTGATCCTCGAATTGTTATTGTGACCCTTGGATACCAGTACTCGGTGTCCCTTTGGGTGTGTTTGAGTTGGCTATATGCACTAGGGGTCCCCAGGTTGGTGGTTTTTCTGTTGGCTTCCCTTTAAAACACACCCAAAAACGGGTACCACCAACAAAAGACACCCCCATGTGTTTGTCTAAAAGGTCTTGGCAGAGAACGGATTGCTGGCACCTGTCAGGCGAGACTTTTACTGAGCAGGATCAACAGCTCATGCTGCAAAGCTTTGACTTCGACCAGACCCTTGGCTGCACGATCCCGAAGCAATATCTGCAAGGCCCGGATCAATATGACCTCAGGCATTCTGGCTCCAGCATTCATCTGAATTCCTGGTTGACCCTTTGAGGGGAGATTCGGCACGTGGCTATCTCCAAAATTTAGTCTCCAGGCCTGCATTGTCAACAGTACGTTAAAGCCTTGAGGAGGGAGAAGCCAATCGTGGGATTCCTGAGATCCTCACCGAGACCGAAACAAGGCTCATGTCAACGGTGCCATCACAGCACCTTCTTTGTTGGGAGGTAAGACCAGGGGGCCTTCAAAAGGCTTCTTTGGCGGGTTTGCTTCCTTTTGAGGTGAACCAATGTCCAGGAGGAGGCCAACAAAAAGGCTTCGTTGGCGGATTTTTCCTTTTGGGGTGGATTAGCGGCTTCCGCCTTTGGGCCCTTTCGTACTTGCCGGCGCTGGAGCAGAGAGGTTGGGTATCTTGCAGACTGGTCCAATGAAGGCGTTTGCCTGATTCTTTTATCCGACTTTGTCGTTGGATCGGATCGGCCGCTTTTCCTGAAGCATTTCGTTGCGATTGCCTTCTGACGAGCAGGTGCTTGCATAGGGAACAGGTCACGCTTGGTGGGTCTCTTTCCCAAGCGATCCCACCACCCAACTTGATACTGCAGACCACGTGCTTCTGCGTGCTTGTTCTGGTCAGCCTTCATCACTTACGCTCTTCATTGATACACGTATATATATATATACATACACATGTCCGCTCACCCAGCAATCCTGCCAACCTACTCCGTGCGCTTCCCGCAAGTTGCGCGACTTCTCGGCACTCCTCCATCCTTCACCAACACGAGGTGTCTTGTGCGAAGCCTTTCCGGGCAGCGACACGCCCTCCGATCCAGGAACGGCTCCATCGGCGTCAACGAGCTGCGGGCCTTCCTGAGGCCCAGGGCCCCTAGGGCCCCTAGGGCCCGGGATCCTGCGAGCTTTGGTCTTGGTGCGATAGAGCGAGAATGGAACGACCAACCTTTTGGACCCCAGCCCTTGTGGTTTCCTTTAAGGGGACCCCTGAGCCTGGGCTCATTCCCTGCGAGCACCAAGTGGTCAACAATTGCCGGTGGGTGTGCCAACAGATGAAAGCGAAACAGGGAGTATCTGAAGACCTGTGCAAGGTGATTGTAAGGCTTGCCCTCATTTCAGGTTGCTCGTGGATGAAACGCTTTCCGAGAGGCTCTGCGACTTGCTCCAGCAGCAGAGAATCATTGCAGGCTGTTACATTTACTTGCGCCGTCAGAGATTCTTTTATGGTCCTTTACACACCTGTGTCCCGTTTTGCGGTTCCCGGGCTGAGCTTTGTTCCGAGAATCCTGCACGCTTGGGCAAGCAAGCAGCCGGGGAAGCCTGGCTGGTGTTTGTGAGATCCCCCGGCTCTCCAAGGCGTCCGTTGTCATGTCTTTGTTTTGAAATGGGGGACACGCGTACGGCGCGTGTGAGGAACACGAGTCAAAATTTATTGTGTGCACCATGTGTGACGACTAATGCGACTTCGCGCAGTCGCATTTCGAGCATGCTTGAAGACGTAGTAGCCAACCTTTACCAAGAAAGACGGTTGTGCCGTGGAGACACCCAGGTTTTGTTTTCGGAGAAAAGCAGTGCATGCACAAGCATGTGAAAATAGCAGGCCCATCCACAATTACCCCCTTCTTCATGGTCCCTCTTGTAGTGCGCGACTATCCAATTTTGGGGATTTGTGGGGTCCCGGAGTTTTTTTTACGCGTCGCACAGCCTTGCGCCTGGGAGGCTTTATGTGCCGGGTCAGTCGATGATTAAAACCAAGACTGCGGCTCGGTGGCATCTTGCGGGTGCTGTGAATCAAATGGGCGGCACAAATCAAGTAGTCGTGTTGCAAGGGGAGCATGCTGACAGCGCAGTACCACCTTCATCCATCCATCGAAACTGGCAATTGACCACCTTCCAGTGGCTCCTCCGCAAAAAGTCAAACTCAGGCCAGACAAGCTTCATTGCCTCTCGCCCCCAAGACCAATATTGGTATAGTATGTCAGCATTCAAAGGAGTCTGCTCACTTGGCGCTTAGGCTTCTGTTGGCGATGGCACATGTCCAAGCCGACTAAAGTCTTTGCAGGGCAGGCATCGCTGTCCGGAACTGTGTCAGGCAACTAGAAGCGCACCATGCATATCGAGCATACACACGCAGAGAAGCAAACCATAGGCACTTTAGGCAACGCACTTGCAACAGGCGAGCAATAGCGTTCCATGCAGCCGCGTAAGCACGCAAGCACGCCGGCATGCAGGAAAGGCACGCACGCACATAGGCCTGCAAGCTCGCACAATGTGAGTGTGCAATTCTTGAGCAGGCAACACAGCACAGTGTGACTCGTGTCACTGTCCGGCGTCATTCTCAGTTGACTGTTCGTTCGCCTTAGGCTTGCTTTGCTGATGACAAGACCTGCCCAATGTTGGAAGCATCAGAGGTCATAAGTCAGGCATATTAAGAGAATACCTCTGTGTTGCGTGTAAACTCTGTGCACACTAGGCCAGGCATCATTTGTTTCCAGCAAATGTTCATGTCTGCTAGTTTGCCCACTCGGTTTGTGGCAAATTGTGAGGTATTGTCCAACCACGCTCAACAGAAATAGAAATGCAGGCTGCGCTGGCTTGATTTCGAAAAACCAATTGACGAGGGCGGGCCAATTTCGATTCTTCTACTGTAACCACCTTGTTTGCAGGATGTTTGGGAGCTTAAGTTCACAGCCAATGGCTAGTTCTTCAACGGATACTTCAGGGACAATGCATGAACCAGCTGGTGCTTTTGGTTTCAAGAGACGGCAGACCAATTCTTCGTTCAACTCAGTGCGTACGTCTGGTCCTTTGGAGTCGCCTTTTTTCTCTGTGGAGTCGATAAACGAGTGCCGCCCAAGGCGCTCATCATCATTGACGTGCAGAACGACTTCATCACTGGAACCCTGGCCAATCCCTACAAAGCAGCCCCTCGGGCTTCGAACAATGCTGTGGTTGCATAAGCTGTCCGGTTCGAAAATGGGTGGCTCGTCTTTAGGATGACCCCCACATGGCCCGGTTTTCCTTTGGCACCCCAAAAAGGGGTACCCTCGAAAAAGGACAGAGCCTTGTCCCTTGACACTAAGCCTTGAATGTAGAAAGCTGCTTGGTCTGCTTCTGCCGGATGATCTTTGGCCATCTAATTTATTGCCTCCCGAGCTGGGGGACCCGTTCGTTTTTCGAACCACAAGCCTGTTTTTCGACCTCCATTTTACCTTTTGCTTTGTGGGTCCAAAAAAGCCGGTTGGGGGTCAACAAAAACAACATCCCCCCCAAAGTGCCGTGCGCAGGCCCTGGAGTACAGGAAATTTGCCTGGTTCATGTGGCTAGAAACACGAAGTGCCTCTGCAAGTGACTGATTTTCCTCGTGGTTCCAGTTTCAGCACAACAGGCCATGCAGCTGCTCAGGCGGATTTGTTTTAGCAAATGCAAAGCGCTCAAACAGCCAGGGCGCTGTCAATCTAGTTGAAGCTGGTTTCCAGCCAAAATTTGCATGTTTCTCATATTAACTGACTATTGGAAGTCTATTGTGGGTTAGGGGACAACCCAACAAATCCCACAAAACCAGGTAGCACAATTGTAATTTGCCCACTGCGCGGGTCATACAGTCGTACGTGGCGACAAGACACCGAGCTCTTCAGCCTCGCACCCTTCGCGCACAGGCGGTTGCATGTTTGTTAGCTGGATCAAGCAAGGTGAGCACATGCTTTCCCCAGTGACACAAAGAAAGAGCGTTTTGACCCAGTATGCATGGATGCCCATCGGTGCTCGGCTCGCTTCAGCAGATTGATAGATCCAGAGATGTTGCTTTCTTGGCGTGGCGGAAGCGAGCTTAAGAAAAACCGCCATTTCTTGGCTAGAAGTAAGCAAATGGTTTTTCCTTCTCTTAAGCCTCGAAGAAAGCGTTGACTGGACCAACGATGTTTTCTAGTGAAGTCGACTTCTTGCAGCAATGGGCTTGATGAATAAGACACCTGGCATGGAGTTTCTTGTTGCCAACAATGTTTCACCGGACATAGAGGAGCACAACTGATGTTGGGCATGAGTCTGGCTGGTATCGACTGCTTTGAGCACAGATGTACCCCCAGCCGACCACAGTGGCACAACCCCAAGAGACGAACTTGGGCTCCTCATACACCTCAGGCCGAGATTGTGCCGATCATCAACAACATCCGTGATTCGGCAGATGCGTGCTGGGAGGGACTCAGACAGTCCCTGGCAGGTGGCTACAGTCTCCAGCAGTCAAACTTGAGGATCAAAACCCAGTAGCATAGGGGTCCGTTTTACGTTTGTTTGGATAGAAATGGCTGGGTTCCCCCGGTTTGGATTGGTGTTATGCCTCATTTGAAAAACCCGTAAAAGCCCAGGCTTTTTGGATTCTTTGCCGCACTCGAGGCAAGACTCTACGCTGAGCGATGTTACGCTTCGCTTGCAAGATGGGAGCTCTTCTTTTTGTGAGGGTACCCCTTGGTCGGTGTTTTTAAAGGGCAGCCAAAGCGAAACCAACCAGTTTGGGGGTCCGATTCCTCAAAAAAGGCACACCCATAGGCCCCCTTTGCTCCGTGAGGCGACAAGTTTGATTGCGTGTGCATCTCCTACGACTGGCATCCCTTCGAGCACTGCTCCTTCGCGGAGAGCGTGAGTGCCGGGAAGTTCCCCATCAAGGACGTTTGGCTTGGGGCAAGGCCATGGCTGGCCATGAGCCATGTGGGTGGCTCGTCTTTTTAAAGGATTTGTAGCCTCCAAAATGGCGCAACGGTTTGCTCTGGGTTTCGTTAATTTGAAAATCACCAAGAAAGGGGGATACCCCCAAAAAAGACAGACCCATGTGCCAGAGCTCGGGATGGAATGCTGTTGTAAACACAGGGCGGGGACAGGGAAGGAAACGGAAAGCTGAAAGGGAAAGCTGAAAGGGAAAGCTGATGCTTGAGTTGACAGCATAAGACAGAGGCTTCAGTTGATGCGAGTTTTGACTGACATGGACCAAGGCTACAATGCAAACAGGGCAGGAGCATTGGACAAGGAAAAGTTATGACGGGGAGCGCCCATGCAAGACTGCACAGGATAAGGTGCCTATATTTTTATATACCTGTTTTTATTTGGAGAGTGCACTTTTTGGGGATGATTTTTGGGGAGAACTAAGGTCACCCACTCATTTTAGAGGGTCAGACTCGCAGCTTGTCAGGAGAAAGTGGAGAAGTTCGCGCCCTTCACCCCAATCACGCTGGTGGCGGACAAAGACAGGCGGAACTCAAATCGCTCTCTTGGGCTTGGGGTAGCAGGCTACACTTGGGTTCAAACGGTAGCCCAAAAACGGGTGAGCCATTCTTGGCTCAGAATCCTTTTGGGAGAGAGGTTTGTTTGATTTTCGCCCGAGGAGCGTGCAAGTCTTTCAAGTTTTGAATGTTGCTAGGTCCCGAGTTCCTCTACTGTATACATTCCGGGAAAGGCAATTTGGTGGTTCACAAAATGTTTTGCTTTTTTGTGGCCATTCCCACAGAAGAGCTCCCAATGCTCTTCCTAATGTTGTTGCAATCATTTCCTGAATGTCCATGATCTCAGGTGTTTTGAACCAGGTGGGTGGCTCGCCTGTGTGTAGGTTGGACCCCCCAACATGGCTTGGGCGTGTCCAACCTGGCTTGGGGCGCTCGCCTCGCACAGGCCGGAGCACTCGCAGATGCTGTACCCCCGGCATGCTGTGATGGACTCGGAAGGCTGGGTATGGGAAAACGGGTTTGTCTCCAAACCCGGCGGGCCCGCTTCGGCTTTGCTTTACTGACTGCACAAAATTGGCGGACGACCAGCCTCTTGGGGTATCTTCGTCGCCGTCGGGGCGGTTTGGGAGCTGCTTAGGCGGGAAGTGCCATGCAGACCTGGTGGTCAAGGACCAGGACTTGCGGGTCTACAAGGGCACCAAGCCCAACATCGTCGCCTGGCGCGATGAAGTTTCACTGGGAAGTTTCACTGGGGCTTGTTTGGTGGGCATCACGTACACGGAAAGCAGGACATGTATGTTCGCCAACCATTTTGAGGCTGTTCCGAATTAAGCATGGTAGCCATGGGCTATGGGATTCAGGACATGTCCGTCTTAAGCCAGGGACATGATCATGTTAACCTGACTGAGAGATAGATGATCACCTTAACTCAAGAAGTTCATCCTTTCTGTGTACCTCCCGGTAAGCAACATGGATTTAGCTTCTGCAACTCACTGACATGATTGGAAGCCGACTGCATTCAAGGTTAGCAAAAAAAAAAGACCATGCCAATCTCAAAAGCAGGCGATCAATCACAACCATTTTCGGGGCCAGGGCCAAGAGATTGGCGTTGCCGCGTTGCCTCGGGCACTGATTCCATGGCATTCTGATCGAAGCATATTGACACAATGGGTGTGGGCACCCCTCCGCCCCCCAAAAGAACAGAAAAGAAAAGAAGGTGGTGTTCCTTCGGGTTTCCTTTTAAAGCCACTAAACAGGGATGCCACAAACACACAAGCACACACATAGTGCATGTTGCTCCATGTCTGAATACCTCATCAATCACAGCTGTGCTTTTTTCTTTAGTGGATGGCACCAGCACCGAGCACTGTGATTCATGTCACCGGCAGCGTGGACATATGGCTGGCTCGTTTGTTAGCGTTGGTTTTAAAGCAAAACGCGTGTGTTCAATCCGCCATGTTCAGGAAAACAATTAGCCAGCACTTTGAGAGCATCTGATGTAGATGGCCTGACCCTGATGACATGCGGCGGGAGGAGGTCAATCGTGCGTCGGCCGACATGTGCTGAGGACTCCTATTCTGCACCTTGGCTGTGATTCTAGTTGGTCAGCGGCTGTCTCCAACTAACCACTTGAGAATCAAAGCTGCTTGACATCATTTCATGGCCGCCCAGCTGCTGGATACTTGGGTCGTGCCAACGACAGAGCCAGGCCTTCTTTGACAACATCAAGGCCAACGACACTGGCCTCACGGCCATGTTGGCCCCTAGTCAGCAAGGATTGGCATCCTGCGACCATAGCCCGAGGATTGTGCATGGGAGTTCTTTCTTTTCTTCAGACGCATCGATCAACATCAGGGTTCTGCTTGTGTCAGGTTATGCTTTGCAGGTGCACTAAGTTGATCCGTGAGCTGAAACAAGGGCCGAGGCGTGAGAAATCCTTCCGGATCTTTGGGATAGCAACTTTACGTACCCAGTTCTGCATGCTTGGTCTAGTTCCTTGGCGCTTGCCAGCTCGTGCCAGCGCCAACACGATTATCGGGTTCTCAGGGGTTCCAGCTTGCACCAATGTGGCTGTGGGTCAAAACCAATGGTGCCATTTTGGGGTAGGTGCACCACCCATTGTAGTCTATTTTGGTGGGGATCGGGATGTTCACTCGGGGTACGGGCTTTTTGACCCACGGCCATGTTGGAGTCCGTTTAGGGTCACCCAAAGAGCTACAAAGATCCATATGATGAAATTGGCAAATGACATGGATTCATGAGAACACCCGGAGGAAGGAGAAGAAGCAAAATGGCCGAGCCCCATCGGAGAAAACCATCGCTGAGGCGTGCAAACAACATTTTGGCACCTTACGGCTTCTTGAGGCTCAAGGCCCCTTATGTCAGGTTTGCGCCTTTGATTTGCCGTATCCATCTTCTTCAATTGGCAAACATGTTTGTTTTTTCTTCTTTTTGTCTTTTCTTTTTCGTTTTATGTATTTTGTCCTTCTCAGGAGAAGGAGGGCGTCACAGATGTGTACTGCTGCGGCTTGGTGACCGACATTTGTCCGAAGCCCAGTTGTTCTTGCCATTCAACCGCTCAGCAAAGTTGAGTTGTTTGTCGATGTTCACTTTTCAGTTCACCAATGCCGGAAGTGTACGCTGAGTTCAATTCCGATTGATTAGCCGCTCTTCCATGGCAAAACGAAGCTTTGAGTAGTTGGGGCAAGGAATTGCGGCATCGGTGCGGCGCATGTTTTGTAGAAGCGACTAGGTGGTAGCAAGAAGGCCCAAAGCCTAATGTCTGTAGGGTGCAGGTGAACTCATGGGCATACTTTCAGGCTACCAAAGTCGTGGGGATGGCCCACCTCACCTGAAGTTGATCATGTTAAAAAATCGGGCCAATCCCTGTTGGGCGGTTCAAAGTTTTGGTTTCAACCTGAAAAGCAACCTGCAAAGAGCTCCCTCAAAATGGCACACACGCATATGAAGTTGGGTCAAAGTTGGGAGTCTCCAAACAATTTGCCGCAGAAAGACCGTGGTTACCGCGGAGCTGGCTCATTTGGCAAGATATGCGCCGTCAAAAGCCAGTCGCATTTCTGGGAGTCTATGGATTATTTGGCACCAACAAACTCGCCACAAAAAGCGATGGGCAACTCGCCCAGTTTCCCGTTTTTAGAGTCTTCCCTTTTGGTTTTGAAGGGAATCTCCCATTTTCCAGGGGGCGAAAACGCAAATGGAAGATTTCACCGTGGTTAAACAAGGGCAGCGCCGCGTTCGAGAGGTGTCAAGTCTACCGCGCTGCACGGCGCGGAGGTTGGCTTCAACGCCGCTGGGCGTTGACATTTTTTTGGGGTCGTTGAGCGGTGAAGGAAACATCCCACGGGTTCGGTGTACTTGCCTACAGATTGTGTAAATATGTATTGAACATATAAAATATATATATATATATTTATTCAATGAACGTTTTTAGTTTCATTTAAAAACTGATATTGAATCCTAAAGGTGGGGGTCTCTCAGAAGGAGCTTGTTTCCGCTACGAATGATGGTTTTTGTGGGTTCCATTTTAATCTGTAGGAGGGGAATGGTGTTTGTTCCTGAAGTTATGGTTTCCTTTGCCTTCCTTCGGGCAAACAACTTGGGGCATGCGCTTCGTACGTCTGACAAGTCGGGAGTTTTCGGGGAAGGGAGCAGATCATGGGGAACCTCATATTGAGACGGTATGCGCGATTTGTCTATCAGGCGCGCCCGAAGTGCATGTGATCTTGTGGGTTCTTCGTTTTGGTACCCATGTTTTGTCTTGGCAATCCAAAAGGTCATCACCTGTAATTTATTTATCTCTGCCCCCAAGAGGCAGCTGAGAAGAGGGCAAAGTGGACACTTGTGATGTCAGGCCCACATGCAGATCCATTTGGCTTGAAGCTGATGGCGGAACTAGCTTCCCTTTCTTGTGCAATCGGAAGCGTTGACCCCTTCGTCAATTCGGTTGTGGGAAAGAGACATCAGTGAATGCTTGCTGCCTGTCCCTTCAAGTCCTCTTTTGGACGCTTTGCCACTTTCTGGTGCAGCAAGCAAGGTTCACGGGAGCTCGCGCCCCAGAAAAAAAGGTAGCTCAATTTGGCTGTCGGAGCGGCTCGAGTGAGGCCTATGTCATTGAGGATGCCAGCAAGCCCTTGGATCAGAACAACATCGAGCCCACCAAGAAGGCCCAGCCGGGCTGCTTGAATTGAAACCGCGGCCAGAAGGCCACAGGATCATCTCCTGGCCATGGGGTTCCCGTGCTTTGACAACTTGCGGCTGCAGGCACAAGACACAACCTCTGCCTGTGGGTATTTGGTGTCATTGCACGGGTAGCTCTCACAAGAGCAATTCACTGCATGGAAGCATTTGAGCCTGAAGATCGACCCTGGGCGTCTTTTGCCTTACAAGGGTGAGATGCATCTGAGGATCACAATGGGCACATAGGGGCCTGTCTCTAAATGGGGAACCCGCGAATAATCCGCTAGATTTATTTTTGCCAGGTCGATCATACCCTCAGCAAAAAAGGCACCCAAATAGGAAGGTCTCAAACTAGGACCCAGAAAATTGTGGTTTCCCCCGAGGTTTCCCTGCAAGCCACTTGAACAGGACACCCCTCAAACCCATACTTGGCGAGTAATTGTCTGTCACGTCGCGCATCTCCATGACTTGAGAAAAAGTATACGTGGTTTTATTCAAAGCCAAGTTTGTTTTTTTGTTACAAAAAAAGGAGGGAGACACAACCAGTGCACGAGTTCAGGTCACAAGACCTGGCAACCGGTTTGGGGCCCCGGCCCGGGTTTGGCTTTGGCAGAGGCCTTGGCGGAGGCGGGGGTCGGATGGCTCACCTGCAAGGAGGCCTTGGCCAAGGTGCCTCGGGCGCGTCGGTCGACGTCGCGCGTCCTGCGGTGAAGGCCGTGGTCTCCGTGTTTTGGGTTCAACCAGCGAATTCTCCAGTTCCAGAAAGGTTTTTGGGTCTTTTTCGTGGTGTGTGGGTGTGTGTGACCATTTAAGCCACTCAAAGGTCCGGTTCAACTTAGTGTTTGGATCTTACTAGTTGGTTTAGTGGTTGGGTCCCACTAAAAGTTAGTCAAACTTTTAGCAGGGTACCCATTTTTGGGATTTCTAGACACATACACACACACACACCTTTTACCGGGATTCGTTTGACAGTAGTATTTCCTGTTGCCATGAAACCTTTTGAGGGTCCCTTTTGAAGGAACATGTTGTTTTTTTCAGAACCCCGAAACGTCAGGTTCCATGTTAGTGGACAGCAGGGTACCCTTCTTAGACAAGGGTCAAAAAGGTTTCTACAGGAAAGCAGCCAGTCGGAGGGTTCCACGTGCAGGGCTTGCAGGACCACAGTTTGCTTTCAGAGCAAAAGACGAAGCAATCCTGACGGAAAAACTGAGAATGTGTCAAAAGCCGAAATACCCCTTCTTTGGTGAATTCAAAAACAAGCCACACGTGGAGGGTGGCAGGATCAGTAAAATGTGGTCAAGATGAATGTCTGCTGCCTTCAGGACAAAAGGCTGGTCTTGTTCTGTTCAGAATTGAACCTACCAGCATTTGGAGGTTCCTCAAATTTGGGGTCCCTCAAAGCGGTTGGTTTTCCTTTGGGTTCTCTTTGAACCAGGAACCAAAAGGGGGTCCACTCACTCACTTTGGAGGATATGGACTAAGCAGGTAATCCTTGCTTGGTGGATTGGATTATATAGTGTTTTAGGGATTTGAACCGGGAAACCACCCCTTAACCACCAAACTACCAATCCAAACCACCAATCAGAGGGAAGCTGCAAAATGAGACCTGGGCATAAGGCGGCACCCTCTCCTGATTTGGGTGTGTGTGCGTGTGTGTCCAGGCGGCCCACCAGAGCATTGAATGACAGCTGCTGTCCCCCAGCGATGCCCCGCATCACTGGTCTTAAGATGTGTGTTGAGGGGTCCATCTCGGCTCACACGAGTTCCCGAAGCGGAAACTCGCACAGATTGAGTCTGGCAAGAAAGAGCTCACCTTGCGGGAGTACATGTCCCAGGCGAAGACCCTCGGCGCTATGGGTTTTACCCTTCGACAATCATCATGGTGTGAGTATTTTTTTTCAGAGTCAGACCGCAGGTTTTTTTCCCTACTTTTTCCATTTACCAGGGCAACCCATTTTGATGTCCTATCTTTGAGCCACACGCACATGAAAGTGCACAAGACGCCTTTAAAGGATGTTAGTCTTCTAAGACCCTATCACTTCCGTGATTGGAGGGAGGGCAATGGTGGGGTTGTAGCACTCGCAAAAGGTGGTTCGTGAAGACTAAAAAGAAGACTTGTAAATGTTGTCCAGCCCAGGGTCCTGATGCATATTGCTCTGGTGGTTTGTTGTCCCAGAGGACCCCCAATTGAGTAGAGTTAGCGGATCGGATCCCTAGAAAACACGGAGTCCTCTCCAGGAATCATATCACGAAAGCTAGCTTTAGCTAGCTGAAGTTGCTCCTTGCGTAAGCAAGGTAAGGGGCTCAATTGCCGAAAGATTGATTTTTTCAATTATTTGAGCCGAAAAGATTGAAAAAAATCAATTATTTAGACCCCCCCCCCCTCCCCCCCCCCCCGTCTCAGGCTCGATTCCTCCTTGGTCCACCCCTCCCCCCGGGCAGTGGCTCAGTGTTTCAGCAGTCTCGGTTTGCCCGTTTTGGACTTGGTGTTATGCACTTTTACATGTTCCGCCGATTCAGCTTGTTCATTTGAGACCTCAGTCTTCTCAGTAAACCACCTCGCAAGAACCCAGAGGTGCTTTAAGACAGCTTCTGACGCCTCTCGTTGTTTTCATTTTTCAAGGTTTGCCACGCTACCATGTGCGTTTGCGTGTCGCATCCTACGAATCTTGCCGGGCCTCTCGTTGTACACAAGCTACCTCTGAATCCACTCTGTCACCGACCCATCTCATGCAACAACTGCTAGCTTTCGTTCACCCGCTCCTCAAGTTCAGCTATTTTCACGCAAGCCCACCACTTGTGCAGATTGGTAGAACAAAGGGTCAGCTCAAATGACAATTGAGCCCAGCTTTGCTTTAGAAAATAGGCAAAACACCTGAGCCAAGGAAGAGCGTCTACGCGAAGCGCGTGCACAGCAGCATGGATGCAGTGGATCAATCAATGATCCATTTGGGTCTGGGTCGCCTTTGTTTGACCCCGTTAGGGCGCTTCCCATGACAAGCCTTTCTCCAGCCAGTTGGAGACTAGAAGATCATCCGGGATCTTACCAGCTTGATTTCCATATGTTTGCCTCCCACCTGCATGTCTGTGTTTCTGTGTTTTTGTGTTTCTGTGTTTCTGTGTTTCTGTCTCTCTGTCTCTCTGTCTCTCTGTCTCTCTGTCTCTCTGACTGTCCGTCCGTCCGCCCGCAGAGCTGTCTGTCTGTCTGTCCGTCCGTCCTTCCGTCGGTCGGTCTGTCTGTCTGTCCGTTTGTCCGTCCGTCCGTCCGTCCGTCCGTCCGTCCGTCCGTCTGTCTGTCTGTCTGTCTGTCTGTCTGTCTGTCTGTCTGTCTGTCTGTCTGTCTGTCTGTCTGTGGGCGCACACGTGAGCGAGCGTTCGTGCATGCGTGTGTGAGTGCGTGCGTGCGTGCGTGTGTGGGTGCGTGTGTGTATTGGTTTGTTTGTTTGTTTGTTTGTTTGTTTGTTTGTTTGTTTGTTTGCTTGCTTGCTTGCTTGTTTGTTTGTGTTTTGGTTTGTTTTTGTTTGTTTGTATGTTTGTTTGTTTGTTTGTTTGTTTGCTTGCTTGCTTGCTTGCTTGCTTGCTCGCTTGCTTGCTTGTTTGTGTTTTGGTTTGTTTGTTTGTTTGTTTGTTTGTTTGTTTGTTTGTGTGTGTTTGTGTGCGTGTGGGGAAGGCAACCAGTTGCCAGCTGTTCAGCTGCATGTCCTTTCTTGCTTTTGTTCTTGTTGCTTTTGGTTTCTTTTTCCCCCTTTTGCTGGGACGGAAGGTCAACCCCTCAAAGTTCGCAGAAGCTCGTGCGAATGAAGTGAACATCGCAAACAACATGGTATTTCGTTGGCCGACCTACGAAACTCCGCAGATGGTTAACCCTTTGAAGATTGTGAAGGGCGCGCGGCCGAGCCTGGGTATCCGCCCCCCCCTGCTCCCAGAGCTACGTTCGCGATCCGGGACTGCACAGAACGCGAGAAAGTGCGATTTTTGTACCACGGAAGCGCTTAGTCTTTCTTTGAAGGATCCATTCTTAGAGGTCTTTAATTCACGGAGCAGTATCAATCCTTGCCCACCCCCTCTGCTATGAAGTTCTATTGTTACGAGAACTCTCCTTTGGCAGGCCACCCTCGCAACGTGAGTCGTTGCGCGGGTGGCCTTTGAGAAGCTGCTGGGCTCAAAACTGCCAAGTTTTGCCTTCTGATTCTCTGTGGCAACTCCCAAGCTTAAGGATGGAGTTGTGCGTGTTGTTTGTTTTTGAAGCTGCCTCTTTTTTTTGTGGTTATACAGGAAAGCAAAACAAAAACACAACTAGTTGTTCTTCCTTTTTTTGCCGGGGGGGTGGGCCTTAAAAAAGACAAACCAGGTGTTCAAAAACAACAAACAACAAACAATGGGCGTTCTCTTGGATTCAGCGTGCAGAACCCTCCCAAGGCGAGCTCGAGGGTACCCTCTCCTCGCACGCCGCGAAGAAGTGAGGGGGCTAGCCGCTGCTGGAGTCGCGGCTGGAGTCGTCACGATGGGAAACATAGGGGGACTTCAAAAAATGTGTTTTTTTTCCTTGTGACACTTGTGGTGTCTTCTTTAAATGCCTTTGGGCTCTATATTTGGAGGTTAGCAGTTGTGAACTTAGGTCCAAATGCCGAATTGCGGCAGCATCTGTGGGGCAACCTGGGGACTCGGCAGACTGCTCTTAGCCCTCCGCTCAACCTGAAACGGGCAGAGCAACGGAAGAGTTGCCCCAAGGGCAACTCAAATCTTGAATTCTGTGACCCGCAGTTTGATTGAATCCCTGGCAAGCGGGGCTTCCATGGGAGAAGCCATCGTATTTGGGAAGCGAATCTGCAGCTTCTTGTGTAGCTGGAGGCCTCGTTTGCTTGACCAGCTTGACCAGCTTTGACCAGGGTTCAACCCGTGATAGCTCCCGTGCAAGCCGCATCAGGCATCGCCCAGATTCCAGTGCCCTTGCACACACCTTGTAGATGGATTTTGATAGGAGTGCTGATGATCACTCAAACGCACTGCTGATTTTCCAAACCTAGAGAAAAGCAGCGCGCGTGTCTTTCGCTGGTCAATGCCAACCTGCTTTACGTGTGATGAAATGAGTCCCTGCCCGTGGATGTGTTTTAAGTCGAGGTACTCATGCAATTGCAGGATGTGTGTGTGTGTGTGTGCTGATACATTGGTGTGATTACTTTCTGACGGAAGGATGAGTAACACCCTTCAGCGATGTCATTGGCTCTTGTTTTGACGGACACGAGAAGTTGGCGTACTACTACCGCAATTCACGTGGAATTGGTCGTCGGTAAAGCGGTTGATCCAGGTTGAAACTCAAACAGGGTGTCAAGAATAGCTGTAGCAGTAGCCATTTTATTTATTCCCATTTTGAAAGACTGTGCAGACGGGGAAGCTCTGATTTTGCCCTCTTTTGCAAAATTGAAAAATGCAGCAAGCTGATAAGTTGTTTCAGCACTGGGGAATATTGTCGTTTCATTTTGAATCGGTTCTCTAGGGTTGGGTGTCAGCGATCTTAGGAACGGGCCTACCGTTGGGAAGGTGCAATTGCAACCAACTGTCACTTGTGTTGCTTGCATGTTGCCCCATCTGAGGTTCTGACGCGCTGCGATTGATTTGATTCGAGCGCGGAAGAAATGCGCGACGCGGTATTCCATCACGTGAGTTGTGCAATGACTAGGGGGCTATTCTTTCACGCCTTGGTCCATCATAATGATGATGATGACTACGTTTGGTTTTAAAGTACCCCACAACCCCATTCCAATTATTTAGGCCCTGACAGTAGGCAGGGGCGACTCAATTCCTTGATAGGCTGTGGTTTGCAAGCCAAGCGAAGGCATCCACGACGTCAAGTGAGAATGTTGCTCATTTGTCTTTGTCCAGGTGATTGCTACGCGTTTTGCCCCTTTCCACAAACAACTCGATTTGTGTTGTACATGAAATGTCCCCACAGTTCGAGCCACGGAAGCTGGCAAGCTTGCGGGCGAGTCTTAGGTGTAATCCAAAGACTCCTTCACAAACTATTTTGAAGGGAGGCCCGTCTCAAGGACGCCTTGGGAGAATGCCCCCATTCAGTAGGTTCGCACGGACTCATTTGAGATGCTCAAGCAGGGGGGCTACTTGCCATGTTTGACAGGACAGCTCCACTGTGAGGTGAACGTTCCGTGAGAGTTGCGCATGCTTCATCGCCCCTGGTTGGTCAATCGCAGGTGGCCGTCGTTAGAGTGGTCGTGGAACCACTGACAATTTGCGGTTGGGGATGTTTCGACATGTGGGTGTGGGTCAAAATTAAACCACCAGAGGACCACAGGTTTAAGTCCCTGTTGCCATTTACCAGGGTTCTGGTAAATGGAAACAATGACTAAAACCTGTGGTCCCCTGGCGGATTAATTTTGAGCCACACCCACATGTCGTCCCTACACTTCTGTCATGGGCCACTCTTTGCGTCAAGAAGCCGATGCGCATCGAAGGTTCCGGAAAGGCAAGCAACTGGCCGCCAGTGGTGAGCATGGTCTACCAATCTGCTATCCATATGCAAACAATGGGCTTTGTGCAACTATAATTCTGGCGCGTTTGCAGCTTCACCAAAGGGAAAAGGAGATGAATGTCTGAATGTACATGGTATTCCGAATGTACATCCACCCAAACCGCCTCCACTTCAATACTTGAAGGTCGTGAGCTTGAAGCCAGGCTTCAGGACTGATAGGGTCTTGATTTTTATTCGACCACGCCCCTAGGGTCTGGTTGGCTGGGCTGGTTGGCTGGGTGAGCGGGGCCGGTCGGCTGGTTGGCTGGGTGAGCGGGTTTGGTTGGTTGGTTGGTTGGTTGGTTGGTGGGTTGGTGGGTTGGTTGGGTTGGTTGGGTGGGTTGGTTGGTTGGTTGGCTGGCTGGCTGGCTGGCTGGTTGGTTGGTTGGTTGGCTGGGCTGGTTGGCTGGGTGAGCGGGGCCGGTCGGCTGGTTGGCTGGGTGAGCGTTGGTTGGTTGGTTGGTTGGTTGGTTGGTTGGTTGGTTGGTTGGTTGGTTGGTTGGTTGGTTGGTTGGGTTGGTTGGTTGGTTGGTTGGTTGGTTGGGTTGGGTTGGTTGGTTGGTTGGTTGGTGGGTTGGTTGGGTTGGTTGGGTTGGTTGGTTGGTTGGTTGGTTGGTTGGTTGGCTGGCTGGTTGGTTGGTTGGTTGGTTGGTTGGTTGGTTGGGTGGTTGGGTGGTTCGTTGGCTGGGGGTTGGTTCCAGGGCAGAGGGGGCCTGGGGGTCAGAAAAAGGAGGAGGGGTATTTATTTTAGGATTTTTTTCGTTTTTTTTTGGGATTTGTTTTCGCTTTTGGCTTCTTGGCTTCTTGGCTTCTTGGCTTCTTGGCTTCCTGGCTTCCTGGCTTCTTGGCTTCTTGGCTTCTCGGCTTCTTGGCTTCTCGGCTTCTTGGCTTCTTGGCTTTTCGGCTTCTTGGCTTCTCGGCTTCTGGGCTTCTGGGCTTCTGGGCTTCTTGGCTTCTTGGCTTCTTGGCTTCTTGGTTTTTCGGCTTCTTGGCTTCTCGGCTTCTGGGCTTCTAGGCTTTTCGGCTTTTTGCTGGTTTATGCAGCTTTTGGTGGCTTTTTGGCTTTTCGCATCCTCTGCATTCCCAGTTCCTCTTCGGCAGGTGGCGTTTTTCCGACATCATGGGGGGGGCTGCCGCCCCCCCTAACCCCCCCGCTACGTTTTAGATTTTCTGCAGAGATTTAATTAGTTGCACCCCTAGTTGAATCATCAATTCTTCGAACATCCCCCCAACCCCCCCGCTACTTTTTAGACTTTTGCAGAGATTTAATTGCACCCCTATTCAAATCATCACTTCTGCAAACAACATCGTGGGGGGGGCTGCCGCCCCCCCCAACCCCCCCGCTACTTTTTATTCATTTTTTTATAGGGATTGACATGCCCTCCTACTTGAATCATCATTTCTTCGACCCCGTCACACGATTTGTTGGTGATGCTAGGGATGTTGGTCGGACATGCGGGGGATGTTGACGGGCTAGTGTAAAATGCGTCAAGTTCGCGAGAAAATGCTGTAAAATACGACACTTTACTGGCCCGGCAGAGATTGAATTGCACCCCTGTTTGAATCATCACTTTTTCGAGCGTCAAATTTCGCGAGAAAATGCGGCAAAATACGACATTTTAGGTAATCTGTGTAGTCCATGTATGTCTAATCATCACTTCTTCCAACATCATGGGGGGGGCTGCCGCCCCCCCCAACCCCCCCCCCGCTACGTTTTAGTTTTTCTACAGAGAATTAATTATTTGCACCCCAAGTTGAATCATCAATTCTTCGAACATCATCGGGGGGCTGCCGCCCCCCCCAACCCCCCTGCATTGTTTGTTTGTTTGTTTGTTTGTTTTTTTGCTGGGATTGAAATGCCCTCCTGTTTGAAGCATTATTTTTTTGACCCCGTCAACCCGCCAGCTACATTTTTGGATTTTGTTACCCACAATTTGTTGGTGATGCTAGGGATGTTGGTCGGACATGCGGGGGATGTTGAAAACGATGCTGGGGATGTTGAAGAGCTAGTTAAAAAAATGTGTCGCAAAGGAAAGAGCCAAAGACGCAGAGTAAAACTTTGCCCATAGTGCCAGCCTGGAACCAGGGTTAGCCAAAAACCAGGGCTAGTCAAAAAAAAAACACCCCAACCCACGGGGTACGCCCCTAGACAGAGGACACTAAGAAGCATAACATTGCGTGCATTCACAGCTACTCGCAGCTCGGTTTGGATTTGACGCGCAGCCTTTGTTTGCAAAAGGATCTCTCTTGTTTGCCAACGCCAGGCCAGCGTATGCCCTGAGCCCAAACATGCGTGGCATTTTGGATGCCAGTGTGTCCATCGTGCTTTGTGTCCTGGTCCCGGGTGCCCTTACAAGTACATAGGCGGAACAGGAAGAATCCATAACACATGCTGACTGCTTCTGGGAGTTCAGGGGGTTTCTTTGTTCCAAAGTCCAGCAGGTGGAGAAGCCCCGGAAGGCGGGGGAGGGACTGCCTTGCTCGGCGGGCTGAGACCTGCGACAAGGGTTTTTGGACGCACAAACACTTTGCCGCAAAGAAAACTGGTATCCCCAGGTCGATCTTCCATGGTTCTTGGAGGCGATCCTCGGTCCACATTCAATCTAGTCCCTGTGGGCATGTTTTGCAGCGGGAATCACATTAGATTTAGCATCTATCGAAGGGAGCCAGAAGTGAAAGATCTAATTCTTCTTGGTTTGTGAGGCGAAGTTCGTGGGATGTGACTTGCGAACTTGTTTGCTTTGTGATGTGGCTGATAAGTTGCGTATATGTGTCCCTTGGAGGCTGAATTTCTTAGCGCCGAATGTCTGCTGTGCGCGTCTCCCGCAAATATCCAGCCCATCAATGTCTCATACATGTGGACAACTTGTTATACAGTGCCAGTGCTAGGACTGCAGTGACAGCCGATTCGAAGGAGGCCATCCGCATGAACAGCTT